AAGTCATCATACAACCCAGGAGGTCGACGGGTGCGGCAGGAGACTTTAAATGGACTGGAATTAATATTCGTAATTAGGAATCGCACACATCACCATCAGTCTGCCCAGGATCACACTATCCTACATTATCAAGACGATAGAGAGCGGACTAATGTCGATTGTAGACGATCCAACGCGCGAGGTGGGTTAGTCCAGTCAAGCGACGTAACTCTTTCCATGGACGACTACATCTTTTCTCATCAAGCTTCAGCCGAAACCGGTAGTCCTTTAACCTCGACTCGTAATCCTTTAGCCAAAACCCACAATCCTTTAGTTTTGGCCCACATTCCTTTAGTCAAAACCCCCAATGCTTTAGCCACGACCCGTAGTCCTTCAGTCCTGACGCAAAAACCTCAGTACTACCACTGTAAGCGAGTCGGATCAAAAAGTACCGGAATATTCTGAAGTTAACGGATGTTGAAAAAAATTATTTTCTACAAACGTTGATGTTGCAAAGCTTGGTTAAGAAATCAGAAAGTGTGGGGGTCGCACGTTGCACCACATGTTGACTGGAGGAGGTTTACCGATGCGCCCGTACCGTCAAACCACTTGGCACATTTCTTACAGCTTCAATGTTTCCGTGTAACATGTGATAATCCTTGGAGTAAAACTCTCAAGTACATTTTGCATCTACAAGCCCTGAAATAAATCAGAAAGCGATACCACACAAGGTAAATGCTTACCGTTCCGTATCTCTACGATAAGTGAATTGCGCACTTGAGATGTGGATACATTAACAGATCAAGGATAATTGAACACTGATCACAAAAGGCCCCCCTCCTAGCACATCGTTTCCCAACAAGCTATGGACAAGACCCGTAATTCTTGAGCCTCAACCGTGGTAATTATGTCAAATGTTGCAGCGTTCATAAACTGATGGCTAAGGGAGTTAAGGTAGAACAGTGTTTATTATCCTCGGTAAGTTTATACATCCACTTATCATGAACAGAGTTCACTTATGGATGCAAAACAATGCACCGTATGTGTCACATTTGAGAGTTTTACTCCAAGGATTATCACATGTTACACGGAAACATTGAAGCTGTAAGAAATGTGCCAAGTGGTTTGACGGTACGGGCGCATCGGTAAACCTCCTCCAGTCAACATGTGGTGCAACGTGCGACCCCCACACTTTCTGATTTCTTAACCAAGCTTTGCAACATCAACGTTTGTAGAAAATAATTTTTTTCAACATCCGTTAACTTCAGAATATTCCGGTACTTTTTGATCCGACTCGCTTACAGTGGTAGTACTGAGGTTTTTGCGTCAGGACTGAAGGACTACGGGTCGTGGCTAAAGCATTGTGTGTTGAGGCTAAAGGACTGTGGGTTTCGGCTGAAGCTTGATGGGGAAAGATGAAGTTGATATGCAGTATTAGTGGTTTAGACCAACCGATTGTCTCCTTTTCGTTCAAAGTTTAGGTTGATAGCTCACAAATTGCACGCTTTAAATTATCAAGTAGCATATAAGGTTATTTCTGGAAAAGAATCTTTATATTGTTCAACAAGTCAAGTGGTATTACATAGTTGTAGCAATACCTTGAGAAAAGCCGATGGAACCGGCTAAAACATCTCTATGTACAGAAAGTGAGAGATCTCGGAAAACGGAAAGGGGCATAACCACAGAACCCCAAGTCGAATGACAAATAAACTGACTGAGTTCCGTGAGCAGATGAGTAATATGTACTGCATCAGTTTGGCCTTCATGAGACAGCAGAAAAGAAGGGAACAGGACAGATACAAAAGGAGGAGCAGTGAATACCGGTCTAGAAAATGCGCAGTTTCTTTTCGGTAGTCTGCTTTTCTTTACACTGCTGCAAATTCTGTTCGCGAGCACGAAGTCTATCCAGTTGGGTTTGCAATACAGACAAGCGTTCCTCGGCCTGCTTGACAATAACTCGGTCGTGACCTCGATTTCGCTCGATCGACTCACGTGCGCGACGTATCTGGTGTTTTATTCGGTTTATATCTTCGTGTGTTCGGAAAAGCTGAACCCGAAATTCTCCACTGGACGGATCCACGGGTTCGTCTCTAACCAATTTTGATGAGGTTTGGGGTTTAGTTTGACTGCCAGATGCCGTAGTATCGGATTCGGAAACTTCAACGTCTGAGCGCTGCAGTGCATTGTTCAGGAATTGAAACAAATAAGGCTGCCACGCTGGATCTTTTTGTTTAGTTGACGTGTTCATGTCAGGGTCAAGTCTGTGGACACGTTTGCGTTGCTTTGGACATTCAGCCGTTCGAAGTAGCCGATCTAATGATGGACGAGTGTTCCAGCCCTGCGGGAGGATTTGGAACTTCTCGAGGAGCAGCGCGACGGGGAATGGACGACCTGAACCGCCGGAACCGAGACCACCTTTACCGCTATAGCCCATTTTGGCCAACAGGCGAGAACCGATTCCTCTGGTATGTGTTTCCCACATACCCAGTTGGCTGACATACTTCGTTTGGTCTGATTCGGACAACTGGATTGGGTCGGAATAAGGTCTGGCTCGTAAAACATCCTCCGGAGAAAGCACACCACCCGAAACAAAGATAACTTTCGAACTTCGATGAGCATGACTAACCTGTAAAAACAGATAACAAGATAAGTATCAATCAAGAAAAATGAAAACATATTACATGACAAATTGTACCCCGTATAGACAAAAAGAAAAAGCTACTTAGTGGTAAAGTGAGTAGCATGGTTCATTTTGACCTGGGAAGTCCCGAGTTTGATTCTAGGAAAAGGTGTGTGAGTTCTCACTAATGATAGAACACGACCGAGTCGAAGCAAATGTACAGCGCTTTGCCGTCGACGCTCTCATCCCACCGTTTACGAAGAACTTCCTCGTGTGACAAAAATTAGACAAAATGTAATTTTGTGTAAGGAAAAGTTTACGTCACATTATTGGGCGACTCTTTGTGTCCAGCAAAATTAGTGCATGAGCTTACACTCACTATGCCGAGTTTCTCGAACGAACGATCACACAACGATATAATGACTACAAATACCACACTCGGTCGCAAGATAATATTTGAACCTGATAACCTGCGATTCTTAAAAACAAATTTTGTTTGGCTATTATAGTGTACATAGGCATAATTACCAAACGATAAAAAAGCGTATTTTTACCATTGTGTGTTCGCTTCACTAAGTGATCTATGGGTGTTCAGACAAGATTGCGTTCGCAAGGAAAGCGGGTCTGTGCAAAGGAGGTGGTGCTTGCGATACTCGGTCATGTCATTCAATGGATTTGAATCAACTCTGTAAATAGTAGAATTCGCAAGCATAACCAAAAATACCAAGCAGCTATGAAGTAGTTTGTTTCCTCGAATTCAAAGGGTAAGGAAATGAGAAATTTAGTTGAACTACGCATAATAAGTAACTAACATAGTAATAATAGAAATAATAATTGTGTCCAATCACTCACATACTACTTATTGTGAACTATTCTACAAAGACCATCAGGTAACGTTTGTTGCGGTTAGTAGCATCTAACCCACTTAAAAAACATCGAATCATAACATTGATTCCTCAATGAACTGGCTCTGAAAGAGCTGTCTATCCAATGGTCACCCGGTGTTGCAAACAAGGTTATGACGAAAACACATTTCCTGGGCACAAGTATATGCATGAACTGGTAAAATATTACCGGATACGCATGCCTGAAGAGCGACAAGAACCGCGAAACCGGTCGTGTGCTTCCAGGGGAATTTCGTTCAGTCATTCAAATACTACTTATCATACTGCTATTATCAAATATATATATATATATATCGTTGGGTGACGAGCAATGTAGAGATACTGATTTACTTTCACCACACACTTGTCAACCCACAGCGACTGATTTTTGACCTATGGCTGTGTTTATACCTGGAACATGGCACAGGATTATTTACTCTTAGGATAATTTTATTCTATTAAGAAGCAATAAAACAAGTGGGGGCTTTCAATTTAAAAACTATTCAAAAGAATCGCTCGCACTTACACAAAAGCAAAATAAACGGTTTTTCGTAATGATGTTTCAACAAATACCAGCCGAACTCAAGAGCGCAGCAGCGACCTTAGTTTGATTGTAAACCATGTCATCAACAATAAATGATACACAAACCAAGATTCTATTGCACTGATTAGGAAGGAACTACATCACTGTGTTGTGCCGGTAACCGCCGTGGGTGAATAATGTTAGGAGTCGGTCCCAAAAGACTGATTGCCTAACATAGAATCGGAAAATACACCTAGGAGGCCTCTGGAAAAAGTGACTTCAACTAAGCTACCACAACAGATTTACGCACCAATATTTGCGGATCGGACTGCTGCACGATTGGCTCCGGGCGAAGTTTCCCACGAAAATGCGGTTGGATCAGTAGAGGCTCCTATGAAGCGGTGATGATTAGATGGTTTAACTAGTTGTCACTAGTGCTTTGGGTTTTTGAATTTCGAGATCGGAATCTCACGACACTACTCACATTTAGTGATCAGAAGCATCGGTCTTGTTCGGTTCGGCATTACGCTTATCCTAATGGGGTCCTATCTTGTTTGCTACTCCAAATCTAATGCTCAGATCAACGGTTTCCACAGCCAAATTATGGGTCCTCAAGAGCATCATACAGTATGTAATGAAAACTTCAAGTCTCAGACAACCAAACAAAAAATATAAAACGCCACTTCTTTTGTCACTTACAGAATCCTGGACAACTCTGCGTCAACGGGACACAGAGATTCGGTAACGTATTGATAATCAAAACCATCACACTGCCTTGTAATCTCGGGTAGATAGGAATAGCCCAACAGAAATGCTCACATCGGTAGCAACTGTATATCCCTACAACAACAGAAAAGTATTACGATGTTTGTAGCTCACAAAACAACTATTAGCCAGCGCTAAAATCTAAGGTTTGAAGTGGTGGATTCACGAAGCGTCTAACATTCGTAGGTCATTTGGTTTACGACGACCTAATTTGATCGAGAACATTTCGGTGGGGTTGAACTAGTTACATGTCTGTCTGAGACTGATGAGATTAGATGGACGGATTTCTCACAATATAAGAACGGGAAAATCCTTCGATCAATAAACACAGATTTACCCCTTTTAGTGGAAAAATTGAAACGCGGTTTCTTGCACGACTGAGGAAACCACCATGAATGGAAACAAGCCAGCGCTACGACACGCGTTGTCAATGAGTGACCATGTTTATGAATGATATTACCCAAGCTCCGGCAGAGCAAAACAGGTACACTGCTCCAAAGCAAGACTGGCGTTATTCAATTTTAGAGTTTAAAAAGGATCCGGCGAACCAACGTGGCGTAACGCAAGAACCCAAAACCGATGGAAGAGCACTGAAAAAAGACTGACGATTGCTCAATAGCACTGGGGCCCAGTAACTGCGTGACTGAAAAACCGAGTGTTCTCCCAGATATGCACCATGGGAATATGGGAATTACAGGATAGTGATGTCAGGCCCTGACTGTGTAGAAGTATAAGTTAAATTAAAGAATCACTTCTCGCTCTTGACAAGCTTCCCTTACAAACTCCAATGGGATCGAACGCATTAGAGAACTCATGGGGAGAAAAAAGGATAACTTCAAGAGCCCGAAGAAAGAAACAGAACTATACTCAGAGTGATAACTGCACGATTTGGAGAGTTGGTGAAATAACGGAACTCGGAGGTAGCAACACAGGTCGCTAATCGATACCGGATTTGTTTATCCCAATCAGGTATTCCGAAGCGTTAGGGATGCCAAATCCGACTAATATATCGTGACTCAGGGTGATTCCTTCTGTCAGGCCCAGCTTTGTTAATCAGACCAGTCTACGAAGAGCGTAGAAGTGAGCATTGAAACATAATCAGCATCAAAATAATCCACCAGATAAGCAACTGCCAAAATGAGACGTAACATCAAACTGCTAATACTCCTTGAAAGAAAATCAACCAGTCTCCAAAATAATCATTCAATAGTTAGGATCCAGTAGAAATTGTATGAATAAATGTATCATTTTGCGGATTAAATTACAGACAGCGGCATGAATTTAACCCAAAATATCGTAACGGACGTTCAAGGGTAAGACAAGACGAATCACACGGGACTAGCTCAAGACGACGGACTCGACTAAGCTAACAAACCATCCGACGTGTTTAAAAGTATCTTCCATGCGAAATCACAGAGCCCGTTGTTGTTCCGGAACCACACTACGTCCTCTCGGCTTCTGTCGGCAGAGCTCACCTGATCTACACACGGAATGCTTGCGCTCACAAACGACCTAGACACACGCTCATGTCTATGGCTGATACCGACATCAGTGTTCACGATACGCCAATAAGCATCGGACCGCCCACCCACAAACGACAGAACAGTTGTTAACCAATCGGACTGGCATTAGGCTCTCGCTGATTGGCCGATTAGTAAAAGCCACACCTATTGCTGCGCTCATTTAGGAGTGCATGTGTGTGCGATTATCATGTGACTGATGCATTTGCGTATGTCTGCATGCGACGTCCGCGTACTGAGGTCGATTCACTGCATGCAATCACATGTCGCGGTATGTGGAGCCGATTTCAGCGTGCTACACGTGCGATGTCGTTTTCTGTATCATCTGGCATAGATGTCGAGGCACATGGGTTGTGGGACGTTGGTTTTATGGCGTGTTTCCCCGATAGTAAGACCTATCCGAAAAGACTATGCATGATCTATGTGAAAGGCCATGCCCGGAAAATAAGAGCTTCGTTTTAACGGTGGACGTGACGAAAGACATCCAGGTGTATATAAGATGAAAGTGCTTTACACTAATAACGATGCTTTCTGGTAAAACTACTTTACTTAGGCGCTAGAACGTGGTTGTAAGTACAAGAGAAGACATACAATGTGATATTATCCAAGAAAAAGTAAGATGCGCAATGATTTCCCTTCATGAATCGCATTGAAAATATACCAATATACCGATGGCAGCCTAATTTTGTTCAGCAAATTACAAGTGTTGTGCAGAAGAAAATGTTCTGCTAACGTTGAAACACCATATGCGCGGCAGTTCAACCACAGTACATATATCGTTGTTCTTTGAATGTATTTTTCTTCGGAATCCATTCTCGGTGGTAAGTGAAAGTCTTTAAAATACAATAAACGTAGGAGGCGATATAAAGTCCGGGAACTTTTGAGTACAGTGAGAAGGCTGGGGACTGATTCCCAAGTTGTTCATCACGGGTTGATCAAGCTGCAATAGGGGAAATACTCCAACAAATAAGTCACCTCATCCATGTCACCGAAACCAAAGGAAACCGGCACAATTAGTTTAGCAGTTATGTCGAACAGGACGGTTACTTATGGTTGACGTTTAAAAGAACAGAAACACCGATGACAGGTTATTCAGAAGTGTCGGTAAGTTGGGTTGTATATTACTTCGATTCAATAAAGTTATAT